CCCAAACCCAAACCCAAACCTAGAAAAGTTGAAGTTTGTGACCTAAAGGAAAAACTGATAAATCTTGATTTTATTATATGTCTCTCCTTAACAGGATTAAATAATAATAATATGTAATTTATTAATTATAATACTCCTCCATAACCATATTTTCGTAAATTAAAACTTTCTTTATAAGTTTTTTATTAACAATATTATAACGGAATTCTACTGACCCTAATAAAATTTTAATTCAAAATCAACTAAATTAAATCGAATTTTTAAAAATCTAATAGGACCTTTACAGCCCAAACTTAATATAAAACTAATCTACTCTATATTTTTAATCATAATTTCATAAAAAAAATGTAATTAGCAGAATAGTTAAATTTTATTGAATTATGATTAGACTTAAAAATCCAAAATATTATGATTAATTGTGAATGGATTTTAAAATGAAGAATTTTTTTAGTGAGCCTTTTAATATTATATTTAAGATAAATAAATAATAATTAAAATTAATGTAATTTAAAAGAAATAATTTGGATAATTATATATTCAGACATCATCTATGTTATTTTATAATAATATGAAAAAAGTTATTATTGGGAATAAATAAAATTAAGTAAAAGAGCTTGAATGATACACATTTTGACATATTTTGAAATTAATATTTATTTGAAAGCATCATTATTAGGATTGAGTTAATTATTTACTAGTTATTAGCAATTAATAAAAATAAAACGCTTTACATTATGACAATATTTAGGAAATTTAATTTATCGACAGGCTAAATGTGCTCAGTTTCAATATTGTTATCTATAAATAAATATGATGTGAAAAGTTAAATAATAAAGTGATATTCTTAGTTCTCTAAATCAGTTTATGATACTTTATTTACTGATCACTTTTCCATTTATTGATTGTACAGAACTGATTTACAAAAGAAATATTTATTGATTTTATAAAAATATTTACTTTTGATTCTTAAGTACTTTAGATTAAATTAAGCATCGAAAAAACTTGAATTAATTTTAAATGAAAAATATTCAAAGAATAAAGAATTAAAGATAATTTCTTTAAATTAAGAGAATTCCTTCTGATTAAATTAAAATTGAAATAAATATAGACCATAATCATTCAAATATATTAATGAATCCACTTTTAATTCAAAAAAAACTATCAAAAAATATTTATATCTACAAAAATGCAATAGGTTAGTCCATTTTATTAATTGGATGATGATTGTAATGAATTTAATGAAATATCAAAATTAAAAAAAAATCAATAATATATTAAAAAGAATGAGAATTGAAAATATTATCAATCCAAAAATTATGAAAATAAATTACCACAATATTAATATCCTAATTAAGATGATTTTGGTATATGTTAAGTCAACATTTGCTGTTTCCGATAAGTAACAATCTAAATTATTAGCTATTGAATAAGATTAATTACTAGCTGAATCAACAAATTGAATCAAAAGGAAAAGCTAACATTTAATGAAAATATAACTTAAAAATATCCATAAATAATTTAATAATATTTTTAATGGAATACCTTCAGGATCTGCATTATTAAAATAGAATTCTTTGATTTACTTTAATTAAAGCATCCTTAAATTTTTAATAATAAGAACAGATCATTTTATGTTCTAATTAAGTCTGATTAATTCAAGTAATCATCTGATTAATTGTGTGGAAAGTCAATAAAAATAATTAGCTTATTTAGAATAATTTAAGATGATAAATTATTACAAAGAATTTAATTTAAATTTATAAATTATCATTTTTTAATAGAAAATGGAATAATCAAATATGAAAATGTGCTCAAAACATAAATTAGAAATTGTTTTGGTTGACCTTGAAGCAAAAGTAGCTTAAGAGGATAGATATTTATGTGTTAGATGTATTATTGAAAGAATGAATAAGAAGAAAATGAATATGATTGACGAAACTAAGAATTTGATTAAAGAAATGAAAATGACTGAATAAAATCAAAAATTTGAAGACAATAAAAAGAGATTAGATAATTTCAAAATAGTTGGATAATTATTAAGAGATCTTAAGTAGAATATAGACTCTATTTTTGATAAAATATTCAATAATATTCAATCAAAATTAAGTTAGATTTAAAGTGATATAGAAAATATAGAATCATAAACTATCATATTCAATTTTGAAGTTGACATTGAAAGATTATCCTAATATTAAGAATAATAAATTAATTCATAATCTATTCAAGCAATAGAAGATGATCATAAATTTATTGAATAAATACAAAAATAATTATCATCATTCATAAATTCTTAATAATATAATAAATTAATGAATAACTAAATAATTTTTGTTAATGAAATCGTAGCCTAGGATTTATAAACAAATGAATAACCTAATGAAATGATAAAAGCATAAGATTATGTAATATAATTATATTTCATATTAGAAAACACCAGCTTTGAAACTTATATGCGAAGAACACACAAAAGAAATCATAATGTTTAATTTGAATGTCAATTCTAACCAGTAACCAAAGATGGCATGTGTAAAATGTATTTAATAATATCCTGCATCATACACACCTTTAGAAGAGCTTATTAGCTAATGGGATTAATATCAAAAGAGAAATTAAGCTTATAGTAATGAAATCCAAAAAACTAGGAGTGTTATGTAATAAAAAATATTGAAAGTCATTTAAGATATCAAATTGTAAAATGATTAAATATTTGATGACCTAATATAATCTTTAAATAACTAATAATAATCAATAGAACATATGAATCAGAACTAGATTAATGGTAAATCATTTTATCAATTAACGTCTAATTAAATTAATGAAATACTTATTCAATTAAGTTAAATAGATAAATTTAAGTCACATAAAGATCAAAAAAGTAATATAGAGAAAATTGATAAAATATTCTATTCAGACTTAAGATCCAGATTGGAGCATTTAATTTAATATTAATAAATAAATGCTTAAAGAATCAATTATTTGCTTATGAATGATAATAAAGTGATTCATGAAATTGATAATCTTTTAAAATCAACCTAGTAGGAAGATGTAGATAATAAAGAAGAAACAGCTGATATATTATAAATTATAGAAAAAACGAGATAAATTATGGAATAATCATTTAATTTTCAATTTTCATAAAAAATACTTGATGAAAATATTGGTTAATATAAAAAGGCTAAAGAGGAAATTTAGAATTTAAGGTAGATTTTAAGCTTAAAAATAGAAAAATGTTAAAGATTTCAATAGATATTCAATGAACTCAATAATTATTCAGAAAAATTTGTTTAAGATTATCTTAAATTTTAATAATTTTTAGAATTTGATTAAATGTTGAATCTAATTAAGGAATTAAAAGAATAAATTTCATTATCCAATAATGAATAATTAATAATTAATCAACAAAATGAAGAATAGAAGTAATAATTAGAATTATTGAAAAAAAATTAAAATTAATATTAAAATGAGATTTAAGTTTTAACATCTTTAAGTATTTTATATTTTATCTTATTAAGATGAAAAGATGAAGAAAGAAATGGAAGAATAAATCAATCATAAAAATTAAGATAATAAAAAATTAAAAGAAAAAATTGAATCTATTTAAAAAGAGAATTCAAAATAAAAAAATTAATTTGAGAATGATCTAAGAATATTGAACTAAACAAATGAATAAATTAATAAAGAAAATTTAGAGTTAAAGAATTAAATAAAAGTTAAAGATGAAGATTTTTAAGAATTAAAAACAAAAGTAACATATTATTATCATATAAGTCATCATAATAATAAAAGTTATTAACATTTTCATAAACACATAAACATTCTAATTGCTAAGTGACATAAAATGGTAAGACTGTTCAAAATGGCAAATACTGTCTTTGTGATTAAGTTATCCCTAAAAATGGATTTACATTATTTGCATTTAAGATCATTGAATTAAGTAGTAGATGTTTTATTGGAATTGGGATGAGAGAGATTATATAAAAAAATAATTATGATGGAGATGTAACTTATGGCTATGGGTATTAATTGATGAATAAAATTAGATCATATACAATAGGATCTAATTAGTATTGTTTTTCACACCATGACAAAGATAAAGATGCCAAAGCATTATCATTTGATTTTACAGTAAATGATATAATCATGGTTGAAGTTGACATTTAAAATAAATACATAAAATGGACTAAAAAATAATCAAATCAATCATTTGTAATTCAGATAATTATATATCATAATAGACTCTTTAGATAGATACAACTTACGATTTATATCCATGTGTATGGGCGATGAGTGGAAGTAAAATTGAAATATAAGACATTAGAATATGAATATGATAAAAAATATAATATCTCTGATTAATTGAACAAAAATATATATAATGAAATTTATTACAATCATCTGAGGGAATGGAATAAAAAGTCTCAATATATTTAATATTTAGTTTATTAGAAAAATACTATATAACATTCCAAAAAATTTGGGTTATATTTCATTTTTTCTAATCGTCTCATATAACATATCAATACGTTTTATATATTTTAGATTTTAGACATAATGAGATGTAATTAGCAATAATGATCAGATTTTGGCAGAAACTAAAGCCATAGTAAGGTAATGAATTATTATCGCCATTATAAATCTGAATTAATATAACTAAGGATTTTAATATGAGGAGACATCTTTAAAATTTTGATATTGTATTTAAGGTAACTCAATATTAGATAAATTATATATTCATTTGATCAAATTTCAAAATCCATTTATTGAGAAATAGATAAATTATTTACAAACCTTGAATTTATATATTTTCTCTTTAGAGATATAATCAAGAAGCAAAGACTAGCAATTAAACATGACATAAGGTCATTCACATCTAATTATGTTTATCCAAAATTATGCTATTAAAATATTCAGTTTTAATTAATTTCTAGTGCAGTAAAAAACTTTTCTTTATTGTAATTTAATAAGAGGAACTTCCCAAATAAACATTTACCAATTTAGGATTCCTGTGAATTAGGATCGGTGAAATTAGATTCCATTTTCATAACGATTATATATGAGTATTGGAAGAAGATTTTATATGAAAATAAACCGAGAATTAGAAGTATGGATTTGTGAGTAAGAATGGAAAGTATTTCAATTAGATCAGGAAATAAGGAGAGTTTCTAACTGAATAATCTATAAATTATGGAATTAGTTTTTTATTTGGAGCAATATCTAAGGATGGAGAGTATTCGATAACTTGGGATACTAAATTAAAGTAAATAGGAGATATTAAGAATAATAAAATATATCTTTATATCTATATATAATATATAAATAATCAATATATATATAAATGTGAAGTTTTATCATAAATTTTAAATATATTTGTTTTAATAAATTGAATTAAAAACGAAACTTCAAGATTTTTTGCTTTTCCAAATAAAATTATTTAGCGAAATCAATATTAAGTGATAAATTTGATTTTTATAAACTGCTTAATTAATTAGAACTTAAACTATATTTTAAATTTACTTAGAATTTTTCTTTTTAGTTAAATTTTCTAAAACAAGAAATAATACTAAATTATAAATTCCATTTCTTTAAATATCCACGTTATTTGATTTCATAATAATGTTTATGCCTAAAGAAATTAAACTATTATTTTCAGATTTTTAATATGTAATTTTATTTTTTATGTAGTGATTGTAGTATTCAGAATAATTTATGAAAATAAAATGATTTATGATTAAATGAAATTTTTTCTCTTTAATAATCAGTTATTTATACCAAATATCTTTGATTAAGTAGATTTTCATCATATGATAAAATTAATTATTCATAATATCATTCTGAAAATAATTCTAAGTAATTATTTTTGTAATTTTAATTATAATCTTACATTTATTAATCAAAAATTATGCCTAACTTAACTCATATACATAAAAAAATATGGTTTTGTCATAAAATAATAATAATAAATAATAAAATTCTAAAGAGGCCCAAGAAAAATAGGTTGAAATTAAATGTGGATGATCTAGAAAACATACAGGAGAAATATTTACCTTCAATAAATTTGGCAGGGGTTTTAAGTAAGATGATCAATATCTAGTGTGATTTATATAAGGTAGTCTCCTTTACTTATTGCTTGTATATATATGGGAGAAAAATATTGAGGATAAATTGCTAAATAATAGCTATCCATGCAGGACTTTGAATGATGTAATTTTATGATGAAACTAGTCCACTCAATAGGATGAAAACTATCATTTATTTTATTATTGATATTTGACTAATTATGGTGCAGAAACACTAGAATAAATTATTAGAAGGGATAAATTCAAAGAAAAAGTTCAGAAAGAGGTTAATATCTATAAAGGTGGGCTTATTTCAAAAATTGGAACAAAAGTTCTGATCGAGAAATTGATTAATAAACTCAAAACAATATAAACAAACACGAATGTTGTCTTATTTGATACATAGAATGCTTATAACTAAGTTATCTTTAAACTATTTTATAAGTTTATACTAGAGAGAGACGCAAAAAATTAGATACTACTTAATAACCTTGAAATTTACAATTTCAATTAGAAAAGTAGGCTTAAATTTAATAATGGTATTAAACCAATACTCTTTGATATCAGCTTCGAACATTTTTTTCAGAAATTCAAGTTGAATAAATTGAAAATCAAGGGTATATACATTAAAAGTAGAAGAGACTCTGGATGAGTGTCAACGTGGTGGAGAAACGAGGAGCTTTTACAAATATTTATTCAAATTGCTAAGTAATTTAACCTGCTTTTAAATTTTTATACAATAAGGAAGGTTTATTTTGAATAATAATAATTAGTACTTTAGAAAGAATAAGTAGGGAACTAAAATAAGTAGAAGAAAAATTCTTATTCTAATAGAGAAAGAACTTCCATATTGACTGTGGGGAATAAGAACAACAAGAATATTGCAGCCTATGATTTTGGAGTAGATATGCATAAATAGATTAAGAAGACTATTTTTTACACAAATTTATTAAGTATATACTACAATTTCAAAACTTTTTGGATTAATTAGATTAAAGTGAATCAATCTTTATCTTCCCTATAAAAATAAGATTTTTTTTCAATTAATTGTCTTTTGATACCAATTTGTATATTTGCTTCAAATGGTTTCAAAATTTTAGGAAGTATTGATCAGTTGAAACTAATTTAGAGTCCGTTATGCCTTTGCTAGAATTTTTATGATGATTTATAATACATCCAATGTTCTCTTAAAATATAATGTGTAAAATTAAAAACATACTATGAAATGAATGTGAAAATACATAACATAAATAAAAATAAGTATTTCGAAATATAAAATATAATATATCTACAGCAATTGTTATCTTTACTTTTTACTGTTAATCATGTTTGATTTAAATATATTGTCTACTTTATTCAACCATCTGTTTGATTTTTTCCACATTTCTTTTAGGTTTTTCATACTCTTTTAAATCTTTTATTAAATTTATTCCTACATAGCTGAATAATATCATTCCAATGCTTCGATCATATCTATTCATTTATCTAAACAATATTTATTGATAATAAAGCTATTGCTGAGTAAAATACCTACCTTATATTTACACATTCAGAGAAATATTATGAAAATTAAAGCTTTTTTGAAAAGCTATACCACTTATTCAAAGATTTCCTTAACAATTTATTAATTACTATTTTATTAAAAGCAAATCTCATTTACAATAGAGTTATTGTTTACATATAATTTGAATTTTCAAATTCAATACATTAACATTCAAAATTATTTGTCAGAAAAAACATCTTTACTTTAACATTTGTTATTTAAATAGTTTGAATTTTCGAAAGTTTTCTTCCATTTTGAAATTCATTTTTTAATATTTATTTTTTTTTTCATTTAATCTTCTACCTTATTTATATTCAAGTTTCATCATCTTGAATATATATTATATATTTTACTCTTATAATGTATAATTTATTTATTTGTACATCTTATTGATGAATTAATTTTGTAATATCTTATTCGTTAAATAAAATATTGGAGGAAGCTTTATTTTACTTATTTCAAAAACTTCTAACATTGTTTTGAAGTTCTTTTTACAAAATTACATCATCAATAGAATTGAATTATTATTTAATAAAAAATATATTCTTGATTTATGTAATAATTGTTGAGTTCTCTAATTTTGCTTCAGCAATAAATTCATTATATTAAGATAATATCTCATTCTTTCATGTAACTTAATTAAAAGCTACATGACCAAAATTATAAATATGTTTAAGAACTTAAAAAGAACTGACTGGTTAAACTCTCCACTTGATCTCATTTCTTCTAAAGATAGGTAGATGCCTCCTCCAAAACTGTACAAGAAATTTGGGCATATTGAATTTTTTAGAGTTCCTCTCAATATCAAGTCTTGAATGTAGGTTTGCATATTTGAACAACACTTTCATTCAAGGACGAACTATTTTCATTAAAAATAATTTTTGTTATTAGTCATGATGTCAATTTCCTAATTAATAAAATGAGACGACTGCCGTTTTCGAATGATTTTAGATGTCAAATGTTAACCATTATGGCTATTTTCAAAATAGGATTAATTAATAGCCTAAGCTAAAGCCTTACTAAGAATGCTATTGCAAATGTAAGAACTGATTTTGCTATTTTATATGATGTTATTTCAATAACAATAATGTTTTTGTTATTTGATAGGTATAACTAGTACAACACTAGACATTGCCACTGATTCTTTTAATTATGCAGATTAATAAAATTCTTATTTAGCTGGATGTCCATCATCTGACACTGTTAAATGCAAGAAAAACTTCTAAGAAGATTACTTCTTGATTAAATATGCCCTACTTCACATAGAATGGAAAATATTGTTTCACTGAAGAAACTTTTTCTAAGCATACATAAATTAAGGCTAGTTGTGTTGCCTTCTGTTGGATAGTTTGAATGATTACTCAAAATTATTTTACAATAAAAGTTGGCTTACTGCTCCCTTAATATTGATGACTGAGAAGAATATGCCAATTATTTTACTAAATGTAATTGGTGCCATATGCATCTTCTAATGAAATGGCTTAATTTAAAATATTTAAATTTTATGTTCAGATCAAGAAAAAAATATATAAACAAATTCTACTTAAAAGATAATTTTAAATAATTGAAATTTATTAAACAAATTAATAATATATTTTTAATTGATTAATGAGGTATAATTAACAAATAATCAATAAACAATTAATTAGAATTATAATTCAGTAAGAAAATAAATTTGATTTAAATTAAGAACCCAAAATAGATTATAAAAGTCTTTTATTATCTACAAAAAATTTTATTTGATATAAATCCAATATAAGTTGCTTTCAGTTTAAATAAATTCCTGAAAGTCATTTATATATACATATATAATAAAAATAAAAGATATTTGATGAACTTTTGCAAAAATATTTTTACTTAAAATTCAATTAATTCACTATTGTGTATTTAATTTGTATTTGCATTCGGCTTTATAATAACATTCAATTTACCTCTCTTATTTTTAGCCCATGAGTATTGAGGGTTGATTTCAATGGCCTTATTGTAATAAATAATGGCTTCTTAATATTTTAATTATGAATGTACAGAATTAAGGCTATTAAAATTGTTTAAACAGGCTCCTAAATATATAAGATATACTAAACCTTTGCTGGCTAAACATAATTCATGATCCGGATCACAATTCAATGCTTGATCTAAAATCTAAAGAGCTTCGTCGAATTTACACATCATTCTTAATGATTCACCTATATTAGATAAATTAAATTATCTTTAGTATATAAAAAATCTGTATTATTTGGATCTATTAACAAAAATTCATCAGCCTATATAATTGCGCCTTTGTAATCCCCTGATAATCTTAAACTCTCAACTAAAAATTTATGTATCATTTATTTACTTTTAGTATATAATGAATCGGTATGCTTAGGATCTATTAACAAAGCTTTATCAGCAAATGCAATAGCGTTTTGGTAATCCCCTAATAATCTTAAACTATCAGCTAATATATTTATGGAGAATTTTTATACCTTTAGTATATAAAGAATTGGCATGATTTGAATCTATTTTCAAAACTTTATCAGCAATAATTATTGCACCATCATAATCTTTGCACATTCTTAAACTTTCAGCTAATATTAATAAGTATGATTTTTACACCTTTAATATACAATGAATTTAGATGGTTTGGATTAATGAGTAATGAAAGATTTATAAATTTAATTGCTTCTTCGTAGTTATCCTCTTAAAATAATTTATATCCTTAATTAATAATTCTTTACCTTATTAATAAGATTTTTCTATTTATTATTAATTACTTTTATTTACTTAAGAATTATTTAATTACTCTGTTTTATTAAAATTATATTGAGGGATTTCTTAATTTTAGAATGGTTCAAATTGGCTAATTAATCTATTTAATTATAAGATCATATCATCTGAACATTTCTTAACATCCTCTAAAAAAACTGTTTTAAATTCATCATATTTGATCACTTTATCTAAAGCTTCACTTAATTTCTTTGGATTTATTTCTAACAGTGCCGATTTAGAGAAGTGAAATTCTGCTCTCAATTTTTTAGTTAATTAAAGAAATAGCTCTCTTATAGATTCTTGTAAGAACCATATTTTTTCTATTAATTTTTCGCTTTCTTCCTCGATCTATTTAAAAAATTCAAAGAGTTAATCTAGATTCTTTAAATGTTTATGACAATTAAAATGATCTCCATTTTAAATGCATTGAAAACAATAAATTCTCATTGCATTACATGATTAATTCAAGCAAGCGAATTGAACAAAATCATGTCCTTCACTAGAACATTTTTTCATATATTCTCTCATTATCTGACTCATATATTTTATTTATATTTTATATTCTATTAAATGATTTCGATATAATTTATATATAATCAATTAATTTGTATTGATAGAATTAAGACCTTTAGGATCGAATTAATGAAAATGAAGTTCTTGATGTAAATGAAAAAAATTTTATTAAGTATTCTTATTAATCTTGTAATTATTTAGAAGGGTGTTGTTAAGCGATTAATTTCACATTTGCCCTATGTTTTTCAAATTTACAACCTTAAGATCGCCTCATTTAATTCAGGTACATTGTTTAAACCATATGAATTCCTTAAAAATATATTAAAGCTTTTTTTTTTGAACATCATGAATTTTTACATGATAAATTTAAGATATTTGGAGAAAATAATTTTTCTACCATCATATTATACCTTAATCTACAATTTGGCAAAATTTCCAACAAGTAATCAATAAACAAGTTAAACAACTTTTTCCATGTTATATAAATTTTAAAATTATATATATAGTTCTATAAATCTCTATTTGGTTTGTATTTTTGAATAATTATTAACTATTTTTATGAAGTTGTATTAATTAAAACATTCTTTGTCATTATCAATACTTGAAATAATTTCTTTTATTATTAGGAATCTGATAACTACTCTTTATTGTGTATAAAAGTAATTATTATCAATGAATCTAAAATCAAACCATTACTTTTAGTTAATAGTATATTATATTGATTCATATATTTAGACAATTAATTTTAGTGAATGAAAATAATAGCTACTTTTTCAAACTTTACTTTCATAAAAATATTCAACTTTCACAACTGCTCACTTAATTGATATTTGAACAATTTCAAATTCTTGCAAGAATATATTAGAGTATTTGTGTAGTATTTGTTGAAAAATTTTAAAGTTCTATTTTTTAATTGCCAACAATAATTTAATTATTACTAAACACTGTTCAACTAATAAAAATCCATTTCATAGAAATTAAAGATGCAGTCAAAATAAATGTAAAGAAAGTTTAAATAAATTAGAGCTCTTTTTGTCAGATTTATCAAAAACTTATTAAACAAAAAATTAATGGAAATTATATAATTAATATTTAGGATTTATGCAGTTTATTGGATATTCCTTCTAAATATTAGATCAGATATAAAGAATATGGATCTTTCTTTCAAAATCATTCCTAATTACAAATTTGCTCCTACATTAACATCAAATAAATTCCTAATTAGGAGGTTATTTCAGAATTTAATCTTCTTCATTAATTCAAATATTTTTAAAAGATAATTTTCAGTAACTAATGAAGATTCTATTTCGATTCCATTCTACATTTTATGAACAGAAACCCTTTTGCAATTCAT